AATGCACATATTGCACTGAGCCATAATGTCAAAAAAAAAGAGTAGAAGAAATTGTTTATGACTATTTCTTAGAGTTGTCGACTTTGTCACCAAACTCATATAGATAATGAATGGATAATGAATTATTTTAATTTTATGAAAACTCGAAGAGTGCAACTTATATAGTGTTATGAGGAGTAAGACTTATTATCCCCCCCTTAATTAGGTGTATTATTATTTGTTGTTATCAATGAAATTACATCGTACTATCGAGTTTTCTATATACTTAGTATGTTTATATATGTAAAGTAAATTTCGCCTAGTCAAGTTTGGAAATTCTAAATCCGTCCTTAAATCCACCTATATCCTTTTTCACAGAGACCATAGCCTACAAAAATACACTTGTGACTATTTTCTTCAAGCTTATGCCTCAAAGCTGAAGGAATAAGCACATGACAATGAGATCCAAATATTTTTAAGTGTGCAATTCCTGGTTTTCTGCCAGTATAGGCTTCAAATGGTGTTACCTTCTTGAGAGCCTTGGTGGGACATCTATTCAGCAAATAAACTGCAGTATTTACAGCTTCTGCCCAAAATTCATAAAGGATACCTTTCTCATGCAACATGGATTTGGCCATTTCCACCACTGTTCTATTCTTCCTCTCAGCTACTCCATTTTGCTGAGGGGAGTATGCCACTGTTAACTGCCTTTGAATGCCAGATTCTTCACAGAACCTGTTAAATTCTCTAGATAAAAACTCTCTACCCCTGTCACTTCTCAAGCTTTTTATCTTGAACCCACTTTGCAGCTCAGTCATAGCCTTGAATTTTCTAAAACACCCCAATGCACTTGACTTGTTTCTAATGAAATACACCCACGACATTCTAGTGCAATCATCTGTAAAAAGCAGAAAATACTTGTTTCCAAATAATGATTCTGTTTTCATTGGTCCACAGATATCTGTGTGAACCAATTCCAAAGGACTTGTTGCTCTTCAACTAGATTCCAATGGAAAAGAGTCTCTGTGCTGCTTTCCTTGCATACAAATGAGGTAAGCCATGAACCATGCCTTGATTTTCAAGCATTTTTATGCTTCTTTCATTTAAGTGTCCCAACCTCTTGTGCTATGTCTGCAAGCAGTGTGAAACACTTGTTCTCAAAGCCATATCCCTTGCAGGCATCATTGTAAGTGGAAAACATCTGTTGTTTGTCATTCGCACCCTCACAATAAGATTTTCTAATGATTGATCATCATAGAAATTCACCATATTTTCTCCAAACACAAGATGGTATCCATGCTTCATCATTTGCCCAACACTAAGCAAGTTTTCTTCAAGACCAGGTACAAGCATTACTTCATGAATGTGCTTCTTACCCAACTTGGTTTTGATCACCAGAGTTCCTTTTCCAGCAACTGGAACTACTTCTCCAGTTCCCATCTTCACCTTAGAGGTCAAATCCCTTTGAATATTCACTAAGAGTCCTTCATCTCCTGTCATCTGGTTACTACAACCACTGTCAATATACCAAGAGTGACTTACCTACACATCAGTTGCAGCATTACACACATAAAACAAAGTACCAGTTTCTTCCATCTCATTTGCATAATTCACCCTATGTGCATTCTTATTTCCATTGCATTCTCGGATCATATGTCCAAATTTTCCACATCCATGGCATTTAGGCTTGCCTTCAAACCAACCTTTGCCATAATGTAGCTTATCACAATGCTTACAAACTGCTTTGTTTCCATCATTAGGCTTCCAACTTTTCTGAAAACTCTGATTTCCAGAAAAGCTTTCATTCTTAGACTTCTTTTCTTCAATATTCAGACTAGCAAATGCCCTTTCTGAAGAGTTCTCAATCTGCCTATCCAATCTGAGCTCAAAGCTCTTCAAGGAGGCAACCACCTCTTGAACTTCCAGAGTTTCAAGATCCTTAGAGTGTTCTATCACAGAACATATAGAAGCATATGATTTTGGCAGACTAAACAACAGTTTCTGCACAACTGTCTCCCTAGATAATTCCTCACCATAACTCTTCATTTGATTCAACATATCAAACAATCTAACAAGGTAGACAGATAGAGATTCACTATCCTTCATGCGAGTATATTCAAATTCCCTACGCAACCCTTGCAATTTAACATTTCTTACCTGTTTATCTCCTCTGAATTCCAGCTTCAGAATATCCCAGGCACCCTTTGAGGTATCCTCATTCACAATCCTGGGGAATAACTGATCTGAAACTGCACTTTGGATCAATCCTTCATCAGAATCTGAGCCATCATAGACTTCTCAGTATCTGTAGCCTCATCTTTCTCCTTCTTCAGATCTGAGCTATTGAACACATTCTCGACCAGCTCCCACAATCCATGAGATTTCAGAATGGTTTTCATCATAATACTCCAAAACTCATAGTTTTCTCCATTGAAAACTGGTGTGCGAAGCTCAGCTACTCCAGATCCTGCCATATTAGACATTGGGTCCAAGAAATCAGAGCTTCAATCTTCAGACCAGCTCAAAATAGCTCGAAAAACGAGTCCGATTTACTGTTCACAGATACACGCCCAGCTCAAACAATCGAACCTGGCTCTGAGGCCATGTTAGAATTCATTATTTTCAGTGTTTTGGATGTTTGGGAGAAAGGAAATCAGCAAACAGATGAACAAAGAGAACGTTGCTCTGTAGAAGAAAGCTGAAAGCTACTGTTCATATATTTCCTTTCTATTCATCTATTTTCGTATATCAGAATAGAGAAGTTAGATTCTTCTCTTAACTGATTTACACAGGGATTTAATCATAGCCTTTGATCCTATCATCCTATGAGATGATTACACTTGTCACAATCTAACATAACACATAAGTGGCCACTTGGACTATGATCCAACGACTCATATTACACCCAGCAAAGTAGCATATAAAACTGAAATAGAAAATTCAAACAGAAAGAAAACTTTGGCACCAAGACTTTCAGCTCAAAGGGTTATACATCAACAGGTGTGACATGGTCTGGGTCTGGGTCAATCGAAACGGCGTAGTCACCAAGGCTCCTAAGGTTGGTTAGCTACTTTAGCTAGGGCCCCAAACTAGTCCTAAATAAATAAGGGTCCAGCTGGCCACCTTCCAGGATTTATGTATGTTCTTGCTTCTTAGAGAGGAAACTAATGTTATAACGAATAAATTGCTATGTTTAAATTTAATTGCTGTCCAAAATTTTCTATATAGGGTGAAAGCCCCCTGCTGGCCATGGCCAACAAAAGTTTTACAGAGAAATAAAAAGAGTAAAATAGAAAAAATACATATTGAATTATTGCGTAATATATATGCATGTATGAAATAATAAATTATTTAGGCATCAAATGGTGATGAAATAAATAACAGACATGATGCTTTCAATGGTAAAGCATTTGTTGTTGCAAATGTCATACGTGAATTATGATTATTTAATCCAATGCGAATTGAGCCTTACAACGGTTGTTTTTTGAGAGTTTTGTCAGTCAAAGGCTTAATTATCACTTAATCACTTAATCACTAACTCAATTAATTTTATTAATTTTTTTTGGTTTGCAAAAGTTTTGTCAGTCAAAGAGATGATGCTTTCAATGGTAAGGCATCATTGGCGGAGTTGATGCGACAAAGTGTGGGTTTGTTTGACTGAAAAAAGAAAAAAAGGTGTGGGTTTGTTGGAGCCAGAGAGATTATGCGAGAGAATCAAAATCTTCGTGCAGCCATGCATGCATGATGGAGTTCTTGTGGGATCGATCGCGTTCGGGAGTGTGAATTGATGACAATGGGATTTGGATCGTCACCCCTGTCCTAAATTAATCAATAATTATCTGCTACCATATAAAAGATTTGCTTTGGATTGGATGTGACTCCAAATCCAAACTCATTGCTATTGTGATCATCTCTTTACATTCATCAAGATTCTTTTCTTTTCGAAAATTTCATTCCCTTTTTAAATATTGTTAGTATCCAAGTTGCATCATTACTAATGAAACGACTATATGCAAAACATTATATTTACATTTAGAATGGATACGAAACGACTATATGTAAGAAGTCATTTGAAACTTGTTTATTTTTTTTTATTTCATTCTTATTCAAATTATGCCAATATGGTTTAGTCTAAAGAAAAAAGGCAATGATTTCCTCACTCCTATTTTATCCACTTACACTCCTTTTTTATATATAAAATGAGTGTAAGTGAATAAAATAGGAGAAAAATGAGTGGGGAAATCACCACTCAAGAAAAAGGGTATTAACTTGCCAATATGGTTAATTGCAACTCAAGTACTGTTGTGCCCGGCATAGAAAAGGATGTCAAAGTTGCTTGTAACTCAATGGCCACTGAGGTACCAGAAGCTAGTAATGATCGTCTTTTTTCTGAAACTACGCTTTTAGAGTTTGAGGATGAAAAATTATACATTTCAAATTGTTTGAAGAGCTTGGAGAGGAAGCTTTCTGAAATTTCCTGGAATGGGGTTCCCTCCAACATGCCTAATGGTGGGCAGGCTAGAAAGTATATGGATGATGAACCAATTCAGGAAGAGACTCCTAGAAAAGAGAGGGTTCTATTAAATGGTCAGGTTGAAGAGAATGTCGTGCATGGACAAAAAGATTTACATGTATCTAACGGAAGCTCTGCTGCTCAAGAGGGGCCAGCTCATTCTGAAAGTTTAGACCATGAAGAAAAAAATGATTCTGATTTCCATGGGCAAAAGGATTTCATGGATCATAGAGAAACCGAGTTGGTTGTTCTGGAAAATGAAATCTCAGACCTTAATGATAGGTTGGAGGCACTCGAGACTGATCATGATTTTCTTGAGCACATGCTTTACTCTCTTCAAAATGGAAATGAAGGCCTACGGTTTGTTCAAGACATAGCTCATCAGCTGCGAGAATTGCGAAAAATTGGGACCGCTTTCAGTTGTCAGTCTGTTTCCTAACTTCAGATGCACCATCACATGGTAAGTATGTTATCGAAAGACTTAAATCTGCTTTTGCTTTCTGCATAATTTTCCTACATTCTTTCAAAATATGTTTTCCTGCATTTACTTTACCATTCATGCATTTTTTTTTCTCAGATTTATTTGAAATACAAAGGCAGAAATCAAAACCAATGCTTCGAGTTTCAATCAGCGATCATCTGAGAGCAAAAATGAAGAAATCAATTGCATTCCTTCGGTCACCTACAATCATGAAAAACCAAAATGAATTTCATGTACAGGTACCAGCCAAAACTCTTGGAAGAAAAAAAAAAGGTCTATAATAGGACATAGCTTTCCCATCTTGGAAGCTCAATTTTGCATCTTCTTTTTTCCACTGTTGGGTCTATTTGGCCCTTCACTTTGTTTGATTGGAGAGCTGGCAGGTTTTAAGTTCCATGTTTTTCTATGAGACTGTAAAATTAGCATTTTTATGTAGTTCCTATTTCTTCTTCTCCAAGGTTGGCTCCATTATGTGTCCAAGCCACTTCCATTGTAAATTCAAGCAGATCTCTTATAGTCAGTTTAGAGAGTTTACCCCAAAGTTTTCTCAAATAGTGTCATGCAAATTTGGGTTTGCAACATAGGACTGCTTGTATCTCTTATGGACTAATTTCCATTTGTTTGCTAAGTAAATTAAAGTATGCAAACCCAACATAGGAACGAAACATTCTACCATCTAACATGTATAAACAACATTCATCTCACCATAACTAATCACACGACGAGCACACGATATAAGAAGTTCCTTTGCTAAGTAAATTGCTTGGTGGTTACATATGATAACTCGATGACCTTGGCAATAATGTATTTTTTGACTTTTGGAACATGACGTGTGCAACGGGATTGGTGGATACTTCCTGGCTAAGCTTTCAAGTTTCAAAAGGCTTCCCCAATCCATTGATAACGACCCTCATTGCCTTTGTGTGACGGTTTTGCTTACGTAGTGGAAAGAAAAACGTACAAAAATAAAAAATAATGAATACAAACACAAGAATCATGTTAGAACCCATTTTTAAATACTTGTCTAGAAAGCGTTTACGCTCATAACCATTTTTACTGCTTCTATCATAAATACACTGAAATTTTTCATAAAAACCCAAGTGCTTCATCAAAGTGCCTTTGTTAAGAAGCGTCCCAAATGCGTTTATAACCCATAAAAACTTCTAATGTTTGAATTATTTTTTACTATCTGAAAACGATTTTAACCATTTTGTTTCGCGGTAGCAGTTCAAACAATGAAGGGGGCTTAAAGCAAACACAAACAAATAGTATATGGTCACCAATCCATAATATTATCAAGAGGCCAAGGGAAGGTAAGGTCCCAGGACAATAGTGGTTTTTTGGTTCACCGAACATGTGCCTGCTGCTGCTTGCCACATAAACCTCCCAACCACCATGACGACTTTGCTTACGTAACTGACATCTAACTATTTTTATTGTAAGAAGCTGAGTCTAGTCAAGCATCAAAAGGAGAGTTACCCTTTAAATAAATAAAATAAAATAAAATAAACATGAAAAGTAGCCGTTGTACTTTCCCAGTAATTGTTTGATTGAAAAGTCCGTCTGGTAACGTTTTCGGAGAATGTTTTCTGAGAATATTTTCAGAGAATGAAAACAAGAAAATGAATTTGCATTTTCAGGAAATGAAAATGCGTTTGGTAGATTAATTAGAAAACATCTTTAGAAAACAAAAACAATGAAAACGTGTCTGGTAGTACAATTGTTTTTCAAGTGTATTTTTGCTAATTTTAGTTCTAATTTTTTTTAATTCTGATATTTTTAGAGGCTAAAATTATTGTAAACAATGAAAAAAAATTAAGCTCAAAAACTACCTTATCTCCTTTTTTTCCTTTTTTTCTTTTTCTTCTTTTTCTCCTTTTCTCTCTTTCCTCCTTTTTTCTTCTTCTTTTCCTTCACATGGCTGCTTCTTTTTTCTCTTTTTCTTCCTCTTTCCTACTTTCTTCCCCTTTTCTTCTTCCTTTCCTTCCCCAGGCCGTTTCTTTTTTCTCCTTTTCTTCCTCTTTTCTTCTTCCTTTCCTTCCCAGGCCACACCCACTCCTCCTTCCTTCCATGGTTGTGATGGTTTGATTGGGTGATGATGGTGGTTGAGTTGGGTATGTGGTGGTTCTTCTTCTTGTCTCTGTTTTTTTTTCTTCTTCTTCCTCTGTATTTTTTTTTTCTTAATTTGCAGATTTGTTTATTTTGGGTCAGAGAAGATGGGTGTTGTTCCTGTTGGTGGGTTTATTGGTTGTCAAGAGAGAGAGCTAGAGTTGTTGATGGGATGCATTCTTGTGTCTTCGGAAAACACTGAAAATGAAATCACTGAAAACAATTTTTTTTCATTTTCAACTTTTGTTCACAAAGTCAGATTTGTTTTCAGAAAACGTTTTGTGAGGGAAAACGAAAACGATGCACCAAACGTGTTTTTGTGAAAAACAGGAAACAAAAACAAAAAACAAGCTCTAAAAACATTACCGAACGGGCCCTAAAATTCGTCCTGAGCATGTACCGCAGTGGTCATCCCTCATTTGGTTTCTTTCCTCCCAATATAACAAAACAAAGTCTAAAATTTTCTTTTATGCGCCAATCCGATCCAATCGAAGTGACACTACAAATACAAACCAAACCTTGCCACCTATTCATCCAGAAATCACAAACCAGAAGCACTAACAAGCAGTACAAATCCATACTTCCATTTTTCTGCCATCATCAGCCATGTTTCTTCAGCTTTTAACCTTGGCCTCCCTGGTCCTCCTTCCCTTACTTTTCTTCTTCGTCTTCAAGGCTTCATCACAACCAAACCCCAAAACCAGCAACAACACCAAGCTCCCCAAATCATACCCAATAATAGGCTCTTTCATAACCCTCTACAAAAACCATGAACGCAGGCTCCCATGGTTCACAGACCTCCTCCGAAGCTCTCCATCAAACACCTTCACCCTCCACCACTCTCTGGGCAAGCACTTCGTCGTCACGGCCAACCCCACTGTCGTCCAGCACATCCTCAAGACCCATTTCCCCATCTACGAAAAAGGCAACACCATCCGCACCACCCTCACCGACCTCCTCGGCGATGGCATCTTCAACGCCGACGGTGACAACTGGAAGTTCCAACGCCAAGTCTCCAGCCACGAATTCAACACCAAGTCTCTGCGTAAATTCGTCGAACAGGTCGTGGACACCGAGCTCTCCGACCGCCTCATTCCCATTCTCTCTTCCTCCGCCACCAACAATTCAATTCTCGACTTCCAAGACATTCTCCAACGCTTCGCCTTCGATAATATTGGCAGAATCGCATTTGGGTACGATCCGGCTTACCTGCTACCCTCTCTGCCCCAAGCCAAATTCGCCGTAGCTTTCGACGACGCAGTTCAAATCAGCAGCGACAGGTTCAGATCGTTATCCCCAGTGTGGAAGCTCAAAAGGGTTCTCGGAATTGGCTCCGAGAAGCACCTCCGAGCTGCGGTCTCCGAAGTTCGCGAGTTTGCGAACACCATTGTCAGGGAAAAGAAGCGAGAGCTGAGCGAGACGAAGGCACTAGAGTCCGTGGATCTCCTCTCCCGATTCTTGGGCTCAGGCCACTCGGATGAAAAGTTCGTCACCGACATCGTCATCAGCTTCACCCTGGCCGGCCGAGACACCACGTCGGCAGCTCTCACATGGTTCTTCTGGCTACTCTCGCAGAACCAACATGTGGAAGACGAGATTCTGAAGGAGATCAGCGAAACGGCGTCGTCGGAGTCGGCCGCAGGGGGTTACGATGAGGTGAAGGAGATGGTGTACACTCACGCGGCGCTGTGCGAGAGCATGAGGCTGTACCCGCCGGTTGCCGCGGACAGCAAAGAGGCGATAAAGGACGACGTCTTGCCGGACGGGACGAAGGTGAAGAAGGGAATGACGGTGACCTACCACGTGTACGCGATGGGGCGGATGGAGGAGATTTGGGGGGAGGACTGGGCAGAGTACAGGCCCGAGAGGTGGCTGGAGAGAGAGGAGAATGGGGCCCACAAGTGGAAGTTTGTCGGGAGGGACTCGTTCAGCTACCCTGTGTTTCAGGCGGGGCCCAGGATCTGCTTGGGGAAGGAGATGGCGTTTCTGCAGATGAAGAGGGTGGTGAGTGCGGTTTTGAAGAGGTTTAAGGTGGTCCCGGTGGAGAGGGAGGGTGGAGCCCAGCCCGAGTTTGTGGCCTACCTCACCGGAAAAATGAAAGGTGGCTTTCCGGTCACCATTGTGGAGAGGGCTTGATGAAGAATATGTATGTTTTGTTCACAGATTTTCAGTGTGTACACAATATAGGCTTAATAATTAGAACGTGCGTAATTAAGTTGAAGGTTTTCGATCGTAAGCATGCAGGTAGATTCTTAATTATTATTATTTCTTGAGTTAAGTTTTTGTGTACTTTGTACAAACGATTTTATTATAAATATATGCAAATAGCAGATTACTTGTTCATCAAGCACTATGTTTAAGGAAAAGTTTACCCATGCTCCCTCAACTATAGATTTTGTTCCACTTCGTCTTTCTTAACTTGTTCTAAACGTCCATGATCTTTCAAAACATGTCAATCTTCCTCTTTTTGTCAACTATATTAATTGCTTCGTCAAATTTAAGGGCATTTGTGTTCATTCACGTTAATATATGATTTGACCCACTCAAATGATCCTAATTGACTTGATCCATTCTTCCTTTCAAACCTCATTTTCACTCACTTTTTGTCCGTTTTCACCTTTAACCCCAATCGAATAGTCAATTGGAAGTCATGTTGAGTGAATTGACATTTATGCTCATAAAATTAGGACAATGCTTGGCTCCTGATATATCAGGTGTCATTCCTTCTCAACACAAGATGTGGCCTCTTATAAAATGACATGTCATTTTCTTTCACCAACTCTCTCTCTCTCTCTCTCTCTCTTCACCTACTCACCTCTCCTCTCCTCCTGTGCTCTCTCTTCTCTCTATCTCCCCATCTCTTTCTCTGCAACTCATATCTGGAGGAGAGAGAGTGATGCCGGAGAAATTTTTTCACCCCCAAGTTGTACCATGTGCTTCCACCATTCCCAAAATTCTAGAACTCCTCAATAAATAACTCAATAAAATTTAAATTAAAAAATTAAAAAGGAGAGAAATCAATACATAGTGTTTGGGTGATGATGATGGAGGAAGAGTGATTGGGTGATGATGATGGAGGAGGGGTGATTGGAGAGAGAATGGGAAATGGGGGAGGGGGAGGTGATGTGGAGATGAAAAATGGTGGTCGATGTTGATGCCAAGGATGGAAGATGGCAGCAATCGAGAAGAGAATGGGCTGAAAATTTATTCTAAAGAGTTGCAGGGGAAGAGACAGAGACGACAAGATGAGAGAAGAGAGAGCAAGGGGAGGAGAGAGAGGGAGAGTAAGTAAAACAACAACAACAAAAAAACATGTATAATTTTTTAAGGAGGCCACATCATTTGTTG